GTGTTACACAAATATTGACGTTATGAATGTTCTATCTTCGAATCTTACTGAGTCACAGTACAGACAATTCTGTGGAAATACATGTTTTGCTCAACTATGCAGCATTCGTAGGTTTCACGTTCAGGCACAACTAATTAGGTGCATGTTTTATAGAGAAATTGAAGGTAGCTCAAAAGATGCAATCCTGATACATGTCAATGACACTACTCTGCATTTCACCATTCGCAACTTTACCTTAATAACTGGGTTAAAATGTTCAGATAATGAGAATGATTTTGTATTTAATACTGATGAACCAAATAGGATTATTCATTAGTATTTTGAAGTTGAAAAACCCGTCACCAAGAGTCAATTGATTGACAAGTTTGATAAAAAAATTTGGGTAGATAATGATGATGATGCTGTTAAATTTGCAATATTGTTCTATATTCATTCATTCATCTTTTCTGAAGAACCAACTGGTACTGTAATTGATAGAAAAGATTTTGATTTAGTTGAATCAGGCAGATACATTAACAATCCTTGGGGTAAAAAGGCTTTTGATATAATGATTATGCATTTGCATAGTAAGATCAAACATGATCGGAAGTATTTTAGGTTGTATGGTTTCCCACTTGCTTTGCAAGTGTGGTTTTATGAATGTTGTTCGAAATTTGATGATGAAATTGCTGTTAAAGTATCTGATCACATCCCTAGGATACTCAACTGGGAGACAAAAAAATATTTCCCTCGTCTAAGCTATTTCGCTAAGGGCATATTCAGAGACGACAACAATCCGGTACGCACTGCATAAATATATGTATCATTTTATGGTTCATTTATATAGTTACATATTTATACAGTTCTATAAAATTATAGTAGAATATAATACTGTATAAATATGTACCTGTATAAATACATGTATCAATTTATTTCATTTAAAACTATATGTATAAATGTGCTCCTTGTATTATATTATGTATGATATAAGTTTCTTAAAATGTATAATTATGCATATAATTATACTAATTGTATAAATATATCCTTATTTGTATATATAAAAATTTAAACTGTATAATAAAACATTTAACTGTTTGGAATGTATATGTACAGACTTAATTGTATAAATAAGTTTATGAACTGTATAATTATACATATATGAACATGTATATATTTTGCAGCTTGTGTTTCAGAATCTGATCCCAACTGAAATGGAACTCAGTATTCTTGAATTACCCCCTGAGTATGTTCAAACAGAGCAATCGCCAATAGAAACAACAGCTGCAAATGATTCGGATGATGATTTTCAGGATCCTCCAAGTCCAATAAACAATCGTGGAAAAGAAAAGGTTGATACTTATTCGTCTCCTCCTAAGAAGCAATCAAGGCGCACAATCAGTCATATTCAGAATAAGTCACCACCCCGAGTCATTTCTAAGCAACGCGGTTTGGCAAAGTCTCCTCGAAATGTCAGTATTGCAAAAATAACTAAGGCACCACATCCCAAAAAGCAGACCAAAAAATCTGCTAAGGTTCCAGCAATTGCAGGCTTTAAGAAAAATGTTGAGCTTAAAGAAAGTGTTGCTTCTAAAATTCCATCCACCAGCAAGTCACAGGATTTCAACATATCGCGTGATGAGTTTGATCGATTCAAAATTTCGATATTTATTTATTAAAATATTTTTTATGAAAATTATATATATCGTTAATGTTAATTATACATTTCAATGTCAAATGGAGAAAAAGTTTACTGATTTAAGGAACTTCATTGAAATCAACTTCAAAGTTGTGTTGGATTCTATCAAAACCAAGAATGCGGAAGATAAGGTTTTGTTAATATTCATCAATACATGTATTTTATATATATATATATATATATATATATATATATATATA